AGGAATGGAAATGCCATTTCCATCTTGTGTGTTGAGGCAGGTCAAGATGGGTGTTATTGTTGATGATTCGACTAGTTTCGTAAATTCTAAATGATAATTCATTGAAGGAGATAAATTAACTGGATTGATAGGACAGAAAATACTGCCATCTGGAAGTATCAGTATCTTCAAGTGAACGTTTCTTTCACCTGCCGATGTTGCTTTTGTGAAATTCTCAAATTGACTAAAGAGTGTCCAATTAAAAGTTAATAATAATTGATTAAAGTTTGTACATGGATTATCCACAGACATTCCACATGTGCTGTTGTTACTGTTTTTGATGGTTGTTCCACCTCCCATGTACATTGTCAGTGATAGAGTTGAAGTTTGGGTTGAGTTGAGGAGAGTGTTGAATGTTTGTTGTGAAAAAGTCAAATTACAATTGGCTAACAAGGCCCAATTCAAAACCAAGATGGCAAACAAGATGAAAGAAAAGGAGTTTGCCATTTTTTTTGCAGTGTTTCAGAAATAAATCCGGAGATGATAACCAAACTATTCCGCATTTGAAAATGTAAAATTATCCTCCCATGCCGGGAATTGAACCCGGACCTCCTGGGTGAAAGCCAGGTATCCTAGCCATTGGACTACACGGGAATACATTCACTATGAAATATTTCTTTGTTTATTCATTCACATCGGTTCAATAATAGAAATGTACATTTCTAGTAGTTTATTAATAAAAGAAGTGAGAGAATAAGAACGAACAGTAATGGATATATTAATACACGAATCCTCAGCTATGGGAACATTGTATCTCATACTCAATAAGTATGGTCACTGTAATTTAACTCCGTTACACACTTTTCTTGAATGCCAAATAGATTCCAATATAATTCCACATGCGCAAAACTCCATATAACATCCACCAAGATAATTATCTTAAATAGTTTAATTCTAATCGAATCTCAAATTATTTCAAATTGTTAAAAAATAATTCAATAATGCGAACTGTCAATCTCCACTTCCTGTTGTTGTCCATCCTATTGGTCATATCCTGTTGTTGTCTATTGAATGTCATCTTGTGTGATGAATGTCCAACCAGCATCACAAGAGATTTTTTAATTGGAAAGAATTTCACAACAACCATGAACGGTTTTAAATACTCGACCAATCCTAGCAATTTCAATCAAATGCACATGTTTTTCAGTGAACAGTATGCACATGTACAAGTTGTTGATTTTAATTATGAAGGAAATACAAGAGATCTTGTGATTGAGTTCTCAGTTAGCTATACTATTTTCGACGAAAGTATTAGATTGGGCAGTGCATCACTTACTCCATGTTATGAATATTTTGGCAAGTTTTCCTCCACAGATGAGTCCAACAGAGCCATGGCTTGCTCAAAGTGGCAAAAATTCTTCAGAACAGCGGGAACATCTCAAAATGCTTATCAAACTCAATTGACTAACAATTGCACTCAATTAACCTTGAAGAATTCATTTATTGAATTAGAATTTGAACAAAGTGAAAGATATCCTACTACTTTCTGTGATGAATTTGTAGAAAAGAAGGATTGGTTCGTCACTGAAGACATGCAACACAAATTTTATGTTAAATTTTCAGAGACGAAAACACTTTCGAGATTTAAATTGGGAAATTTTGAAATGATGATTGAAACTATTGAAGGACCTTTGTGTAATGGTTCTCAGTCCCTAGTTATTGGTGAATTTGAAATTTTCTCAAACTATTCCCTTATTAATTCAAATGTCAAGTCATGTGTCAATTCTAATGACAAGTGCAATTTGTGCAATGATCAAAAATTGAAGAATATCTTATTTGGAAAATTGAACAGAAATTCTGCATGTACTGAATTCTCTGTTTCAAATGCTCAAAATTTTACTGTCAATGGTCAATCACCTTCTCCATTTAATCCAAAAAAGGATGACAGTTCAGATATTGGAATTATCGTTGGAGCAACCATAGGTGGTCTTTTCGTGATTATTTGTTTCTCTGTCTCAATTATTGGATTACTTTACATGTTTTATCGTAAGAAACAATACACAACCTTAAATTAAAATAACCTTAATTTTCACAAATTCTCATTTATATATTGTTTTTAATCTCATGAAGTAAATTTTGTAATCTTTCGAATAGTCGTAAACTAAATCACGTTTTGGAATTACAAAAATTAAAATTACTTTAAAAAAAAATAAGAGGAGGAAATGAGTTTAATTTCAACCATTCACACAAAATCGGAGATCACCATCCAACACTTGGCACTACAAATTGAAGAACCATTAAAACTTGCAAGAAATGACGGTATTATTGTATTCAAATCTAAATATATTGGAACCGATGTAAATTTAAATGGTCATTATGTTGTTAAAATTAAATTTATAATTATGGAGAAATTGAACATAATATGAAAGCTAAACAAATGCACAATGCAAATATATTAACTTATGAAATCACTGAAAAGAATGGAAATGAAGCTATTATTATTTCCAAATATAGAGGTATTAATTTGTCTAATTATAGAAATTTGAAACCTAAACTCTATTTGGGAAATTTACTTCAAATTCTAATTAAAACCAGTCATGGACTAAAATCTCTTCATGATAACAATTTAATTCATTGTGATATCAAACCAGACAATTTATTCCTCCAAGAAACAATAATTACCAAAAAAGAGGATAATATTCTCCATATAGAGACAATTATTGGAGATTTGGGAAGTGTTAGAGAGAATGCATGTCCAATACCTTCTGATAGAATTGGTGTCACTGTTACAAAAGTTCAAGATGTTGATTCAAACCCATCAAATTTATCAGAGAGTTCTTCTTCCTCTTCTTTCATATGTGGGACTTTTGGATTTATTGCACCTGAATGCCTAAATCAAGGTTTAATATCTTTCAGGAGTGATATTTGGAGTTTAGGTAGATCATTATTAAATGTAATATTTCCAAAAAATGAATCCCTAGATATTCAACATCATTTAGATGATATATATCAATATTTAATCATTCACATGGAAAATAATAATATTTCACAAATAATTAAGGAAGCTAATTTGGATGATGATATTGAAGGTTGGACTGAATTTTTCAAAATCCTAATTTCCATGTTGAATGACGATTATGAAATGAGGCCAAATGCAAGTGAAATATTGAGTAGAATATTCAAGACAAATGGATTATCATCAGATTTTTTTAAATCATATCCAATAGGTATTAATGATAATTTTACTCATAATAGAGATATTATATTGGCATGCCTTTCATTTAGTGATGTTTATTTTAAATGCAATCCATTTGAAAATAATGAATTGTTGAGAATGGATAGACAATTCATAATGCAAGTTGTTAACAGGAAAGGATATTTATTGAAATATATTAATGAAATAGATAGAGAAATAGTATTAGAAGCAGTCAGAGAGGATGGAACGTCTCTTGCCTATGTTAATAATGCTACATTTAAGAAGGATAGAGAAATAATCGAAACAGCTATTCAACAGAATGCTAATGCCTATTTCGAAATAGATTCATCTCTTAAACATGATGAACAAATTATTCAATTGACAGTTGAAAGATTTAAATTATCGCTTCAGGCTTGTGTTGAATCTTTGAAGAATGATATTGAAAATAATTTAAAAGTTATTGAACAACTAGGAATTGAATTGAAAAAAATAAGGAATAGAGAATTTATCATGAAACAATTTAGTCATGTTGAGGAAGCTCTTCAAATAGCACTATCCAATCTAGATTTCTGTGAGAACGATTTCACTGAAAACATTGAGGAAATATTCGAAACTTCAAGAGATACACTAGTGAAGTCAATCAATGAGTTTGCACAGAATGATTTTATTGAGGAGTTATATTCTGCTTCCATCTTACCAAGAGCTCCAAATTATTATAAAAATGATAAGGAGCTTGTATTAGAGGTTATTAAGAAGTTTCGACCATCTATTCAACAAGCCGATGAATTAATAAGGAATGATAAGAAATTCATTTTAGAAACAGTTAAACAGAAGGGAACAGCATTGGAATATGTGAGTGAAGATTTCAAAAATGATCCAGACATTATCAAAGCAGCAGTAGGCAATAATGTGCATGCATTGACATATGTAGACGAATCTTGGAAGAAAGATAGAGATTTTGTTTTACAATTGGTTGAAATTGATGGAGCAGCATTGGAATACGTTGATCCAAAATTCCAAAAAGATAGAGAAATTGTAAAGATTGCATTGCAAAATGATGGATTCGTATTATTTTCTCTTGATTCATCATTACAGATGGATAAGGAAATTGTAATTGAAGCAGTCATTCAAAACGTTTTAGTATTGGAATATATTGATGTGTCATTCAAAATAGACAAGTCATTCATGAAAGAGGTAGCTCAATATGATGAGTATGCATTATATTTTGCAGATGATTTGTTAAAGAATGATTCTGATTTTAAATTGGAAATGCTTAACGAATATGGTGAAACAGTATTAGAATTTTTTTTTTATTGATTTAATATTGTAATCTTTTCAATAATTATTAAATAGTTAAAATACTATTTTTAAATTTAAATTTTTAAAAAAAATGGGAAAACACGACAAGAAGGATGAAACTCTCGATCAACAAAAGGTATGATGTAATATTAAAGACTCTTTTTGATCAAAACGGAAGTTACATTTTAGATTCACGATATTATCGGAAGGTGTTTAAAGTATTTTAATAGAATTTATGAACCTCTGGTGAAAACAGCCTTGTCCGAAGAGTATGGAGAAGGCTGGAAGGAAATTGTAGAAAAAGCAGCAAGTAATCAAGATCAGGGAGGTGATTATATGAGTGCTACAACATTTGGAAGAGGATCATCTTCATCTGCTCCGAGATTTAATGTTAATTTATCAGCATCAAGTGCTTGGGATACACAGAATATTATTGGAGTTATACAACGACATTGGAATGATGCGTTTGCTGCGGGAAATAGATGGTTGACTAATACGGATAGGAATTTATTATTTGAAGCTAGGAATTGTAGAAATAAGTGGGCTCATCAAAATCATTTTACTTTGAGGGATACGTATCGATATATTGATAGTATTCAGAGGTTATTGGAATTAATTCCAGAGAAGAGTCATGAATGGGAGGAAGTTGACAAGATGAGGAATTATGTATTGCTATATCTTGCAAATGAAGTGAAAAGAGAATCCAAGAAAAAGCAGGAGGAAAAACATGCTAAGTCTTCTAAACCTTCTAGTAGTAGCAGTTCCAAAAATGTTTCACATTCTTCACCTGAATATCATGAAGAGGAACAAGAGGAAGAAGAGGAATACTATAATTCGAATATTTCGTATAATAGTTCGTATAACAATTCTAACCTAAGTTTTTCATCCAAAGAGGCAGAAGAACGCCTTAACAGTATCTATTCATCTAAGAATTATCATGATTCAGATTATTCCAGTCCACAGCCACAACAACAGCCATCGATTCACCACCAGAATCATCAACACCATAACATTTCTCCAGAAGAGGAACTGATACAAAAGTTTTCATCCTTATCTGGTCTCACGAGAGAGTTTACTGTTATTTGTCTATCAGAGGCCAACTATAATCCTGAAAAAGCTTGGGAACTCTATGTGAATGCTCGTGAATCAGGAAAAATACCTCCACATGCTTGGTTAAACAAATAGAGAAATTGTAATATAATATTAACAGAAACGTTTAATCCTTAGTAAACTTTTTGATAAAGCTCTTACTTGAAGTCATGATAGCACTTGTTGCTTGTTCCATTTTCTTTGTTGCTGTACCAATAGCACTAGCTTGAGGTGCATCTTTGGCATCTCCACCTTGTCTCTTCCTTAATTCTTTTTGATAACCTTCAAGAATTTGTTGTTTTTCATTCTTTTGTAATTCTTTCAATTCCAAAATCTTTGTGAGTTCAGGTAAAGAATGGTCGTTTGGAGCAAGACTAATATAAGTCTCAGCAATCAAATCATTTGGAGCAGATAAGGTACGTAAAATACATTCAATTTTTTGGGCCTTTCCATCAACTTTCCTTGCAAAACTTGCCAAATCATCCTCATCAAATCTTGTATTATCACCCAAATTAATTAATTCTCTAATACTATATTTTACAAGTGACCTAGAGTTGACCAACAATTGTTGAGCTCCCATTAGTGAAATCTTCTTACACTTGTAAATATTGTTGATATAGTTTGCCATAAATGACAATACAAAATTGTCACAGAAGAATTTAAAGTGAGTAATAGGAAGTGCCTTAGCCAAGAATGGTATAGCATCTTTGAGAGTTTGCATGATAACAGAAATGAAAGGAGATTGATCTCCGACAGTATCCATACTACCCCATGCAACAGAAATCATTTCAGAAAATTGTTTTTCCATGACATTCATCAAGTTATGTACAAGAACCTCAATACCACTCTTCAAAACATGGTAGAATTGACCTTGTTCTTCAGAAAGGTCAACTTGGTCACAATATGGTTCTTGAAGAGTTTCTTTCAATTCATCTTGTACCATTTCAATGTTTTGTTGACAGTAGTCAGCACTATTAATAATGTAAAATACAACCATTTCTTCTCTATCAGTAAGCTTAATCTTCTTATCGGAGAAGGTTTCTGTTGGTAAAATATTTGACATACCCAAACTACGAATGAATGAGGAGGCACCAGAACCACCAGCAACAGGTGACGAAACACTAGAATTTCCTGATGCAGCATTATTTGGAGCGTTGGAATTTAAAGAAGCAATAGATTGAATTTTTGGTAATTTGTTAGTAAGAATGCCAGCATACTCAGCAAGATACTTTTTGAATACCTTCTCAACCAAGTCATAGAGGGTCTTCTTTTTAGATAAAGCACTGCATGACTTCATAGATTCCACAATGTACATGAACAAATCTTGACTACTGCTGTATTCGCTGTTCATGTCCCAAGTTTCTTTTTGGATAATATTTGAAAGAGTTTCTCTCATTGACTCTTCTTCATATTCAATATATACACTCATATGTTCCTCGAAACAACTACTAATAAAACCAATAAAGTTATACTTATTCTTTGGTTTCTTCTTTGCCTTTTCAACTTCTTTAATGCCACTAGCTGATCCATCACCCTCTTTCAATAAGGAATCAAGAGTTGATGTTTTAGTAATATCATTTTCAACCTTTTCAAGTTCTCTACGTTTGATCATAATCTTGAATTGTTTTTTCAGATTGTCATTGGCTTCAGGACTACCCTCTTGTAATTTTTGACCTGCCTCTTTTAAGAGCTTTTCTTCTTGATCAAGTTGTCTCTTTTGTTGTTGAAGATCTACCAAAATTTCAGATTCGTCTGGATCATAAAATCTCTCTTGCATGTCACGTTCAAACTTGATTGTTGACAAGATTACTGTATATAAAGTTTTACCAGAAACATTGTTTCCTCTTTGGAGCATTTGAACAATAGCTTGTCTAGTCATTAAACTGAATTCAACAGTAATTTCTTGTGGAACTGACCAAAAACTAGGGAAGATATCTCCAAATTGTTCTTGATAGGATTTCAAAACTTTCATGAGCCATTTGTATCTGTCTGCAATTCTTTCCAATTTACTTTCTTCTTTTCCTTCTCTGAATGTCATATCATAGACATGCAATGCTCTATTTTTAACAAATTGAGAAATAAGTTCAGTTCTAATAGAATCTCCAAGAGCATCCACAGCCAAACAAGCCTCTGATAACAGTTGTTGTACGTTTTCTCTACCTGAATTTTTGTGAGCGTCCAAACTCTTAAAATCTTGGAACAATTGATCACGAAGTGACTTTTTAACACTTTCAAATCTCATAAATAAATTTTGAACTTTAGGAATGCTAGATTTGTACTTTTCAAAATTAGCCAACAACTCATTGACAGCTTCCAATAATTCCGCAACTTGTTTGTATTGTTTCTTTTGTGTGTAGAGTGTTAACTTATCCACAGCCGACACCAACATGTGAAGTCTCTTCAATGTAGTCATTGTAACAGTAAGATTTCTCTTACCATAGTCAAGTGATTTAATATCCTTTGTGATGTTTTGTACCATTTGTTCGGATTGTTCAGCTTTAGACTTAATTTCGTTAATCTTTTTAAACAAACTTTGAATGGTTTCTCTTGCTTCCTCCAAGTCTCTCCTTGCCTGAACACCAGAAGAGCTTTGTTTACGAACAGCAACAAGGATATCTTCATCGACACGTTGAATCTTCTTCTTGACTTTTATGATGGATGATTCAAGACCTTCATTCAAGGCTTGTTCGTTAGGGAAACGAAGATTTATATAATGAACAGGATCAAAGAAACTCGAATCGAAAGGATCTCTCTGTGGAAGCACCTCCTCAAGAACCTGATCAACTTTATCACTGAGTTGAATTGTGTGTTCTGGTTGTTGTTGTTGTTGTGAAGGATTTTTCGACATTTTCCGAATAAATTAATGATGATGAAGATAATTGTTGATTGTCCACAAATCAATCCAATTTAAAATAGATTCGTTGGTTTGAACGAAAAACAAATGATGATGATGTGGTGATTACGTGTAATGTTATGTCTTTGCAACGCACCAATCAAATTATTGGACAACAATTTTTTCGTTTTTTTAAAATAAAATTTTAATTGTTGATTTTTCCGATAACGTGATTAGCAATAATTCTACAATTATCTCTTTAATGTTGAGAATAATTTAACTTATTGAGGTGGAAGGTGGATGGGAGTGAGTTTGAGGCATTTAGAATTTTCGTGTTATTCCAGTTTTGAGACAGGTTATTTGAGTTGTGGTTGAGTTAGGAGTGAAAGCAGAGGGATACATTGAGTGGAGAAGTGTATTTACCTCCTTCTTGAGATTGGATTCATAGTTTGAGTTAGAGCTTTTCAAAGTTTCATAGAGTTCAGTAAATTCGTCAATGTTGTTTTCTTCCTTCTTATTTTGCCAATCATCATTCTGCTCTGAAACAACTAAATCAAAATTATCTTGATATCTCTTTAGTGTTGCCAATTTACCTTTGAGATAGGCAACTAGGTTTTTAACTTGATTGGTATCGTCTGCAATTCCTTGTCCACTCAAATAAATTGTTAGGCCTTGCATGCTAAAATTACTTTTCCTTGTAAATAAGTTTAAAAAGTAATAATAATTCTGTTCTGTGGCAAGATCTAGCAAAATTCTTCTCCTTCCGTTTTGCATTGGAATGTCTTTACATTTACTAATCGAAATTTTCTCGAATTGTTCCAAGCCTGTTTTAATTTGATTATCTGTTAATTTGCAATCACAATCAATGGTACAAATAATTATCCAATGTGTATAATCACATTTTGCAAGTCCGTAATTAGCCTTCTTCATAATGATGAATAGTAGAGATGCAGCTATGAAGGCTTTACTTTTTAATCTTTTTTTCTTGTGGTTCGGAACAAGCTAACTTGTCTTGTTGCTTTTTGTAAAATTCTTCCTTTTCTTTCAAATATTTATGAACATTTTGTTGATACATTCTGTCGTAGTATTCATCGGAAGGAATCTCCTCGTCTTCAAAATCATCCTCTGCAATGTTATTGTTGATTGTTGTGTCTTTGGTTGTTTTGTCTTGTTCCATTTTTTCTTTCTCTATTTAATAATATAATATTAACAATGTTGATCAATAATTAACAGTATTTCGTGATTAATATTCTTTATGTAAAGAAACACAATAGAGTTTGTTCAATTTTTCTTACAAAATTGATTCAAATATCAAAGCCTAGTCTTTAAGCAAGTTAGTGAACTCGGGTTCGTGAAATGGACAATCGGAAACTCCCTTATTATCTCTAATGACCTTGCATGGTTTATACTCTTCAATGTGAGTGTACGTAATGTGTTTCAACCAGTAGGTTCTATCAAAACTTTGTAAGAGTATCCATTCATCATTGAATTCTTGAGCAAAATTTGGACACTTGTCAAGTAATTTTCTCACAAACAAATCTAATTGTTCGTGTGATTTGAACTTCACCCGTTTAGATTCCATTCCAAAATATTCTCTGAATCTCTTATCCATTTCAAAGACAAGGGAACACTTTCCTGTCTTTCTCAAACGTTTTACAAATTTCTTCATACTTCCAGAAAGATTCATTTTAACTCCAATACTATCCAACAAATCTTCCACAAAATCCTGACAGTTCCCTGTGTTAATTCTATCTCCTCCAGTTTGTTTATACGTTATATTTCTATTCCATTTACAAATGCATCTCGACATGCCATCAATCACTCTATTGAGATCCTCCAATGTACTAATTGTTTCAATGTCTGTAGTAATAACAGCAGCCTGACTAACAAGCTTTCTCGGTATTACTACACTACTATCATTAAAGTCAAGTCTCCACTTCCCTACGAGAATAGCAGAGTGAAACCAACCAATCTCTGGTAGAACATTCATCTTGTGCAAAACAGGAGAAAGAAATTGTCTCAGAGTTTTTGTAGGTGCATTTGCAATTTCAGTAATTATTAGCTTGATTTTGATTTCTTGTTTGAGAACCTCTTGTTCTTCCATTACAATTTTCTTCACTTCCTCTTCAATAGAGGAGAGAGAATCACGTTTAGAAACTGTATTAATTATTGGTTCGAGTAGAGTTTTTGGGTCAAGATTGAGAGTGGTCTCGTCGATACTTCTTGTTCTTTGGAGGAGTTTTGCTGTTTCAACCCAGTCTGTTGTGAGATAGGTATTTTTCAATTCTTCCTCATCAGAAAGTTCAAAAGCAAACTCTTTCATATACTCTTCATTGAATCCACATTTAGCTGTCAGAGGTTTACTTTTCAGAATTTTTTCATAAACTGGTTTACTGACAACCTCCTTGTAGACAGTAAATTCCTCATCAGTCATTTTAGTCCTGTCAACCGGAAGAGATGGGAAAAGAGAATTGATGAGACTATTATTGTGATTATTGTTGGATCCTCCACTGGCACTACTTGTTGTTGAGAGGACACTATTTCTGAAAGAATTGGCATGTTGTGGTGGAGAATAGACAGATGATGAATTAAATGAAATATCGTCACTCACTGTAGGTGTTAAAGTATCTGTATCTACTCCATTCATCTATTCGAAATTATTCGAAACTATTAGAAATCAAATTAAATACACTTACTTCCTCTTGATTGTTCCTACTATTTAAAAGTGCACTCCTTTTCAAATCTGGTGTAGAAAATGGCTTTAGTTTGATTAATTTCTGGGAAGTTTTGTAGGTGGCAGAATTTGGAGTATTGAGATTATTGGAATATGTTACAGGTTGTTGTTGGTGATCTTGAAAATTGCGAGAGGAAAGATGAGGATGAGTATTCGAGCGATGAACTGGTGATTCATTCTCCTTAGCAGTTATTGTTAGTGGTAGAGTATTGTTTCGTTTCGATTTGATATTTAAATTTTCGTATTTCTTGGAGTCTGGCATATTATCATTGCTGGACTCTCGTGATGGGAGTCTTGTTGCTGCTGCTGCTGCTGACTCTCATCACTACTACAACTATTACTTGCTTTTTCAACCTCCCACAATTGTTTTCCCAATGAATAATTCTCAATATCTTCATGAGCGTTTAAATGTGTGGCACTTTTGAATACTTTACCAAGGGATCGTTTCGTTTCATCATGTTCTCCACTCATTGTACTATGGTCATTCAATTTATGGGGGAGAGAGGATCTTCTCCTCGATATAAGATTTGATGAGAGAGAAGCTGTCATGGTTGATGATGTTGGTGTTGTTGCCGAGGTTGAATCTGTTGTAAGTTCTTCCTCTGAAATGTCTGCTATTAGATGAGTTGAATTCGGTAAGACATCACACTGTTGATGTTGATGATGGTGATGATGATGGGGTTGTTGTTGCTGCTGTTGATGATGATGATGATTATGAGCAACGAGATGATTGCTATTATTCTGAGAGGGTGAAGAAGGATTTTGTCCCATTCTCTCTCTCTGTATGTCTGTTTTTTGTTTTTCTCTTAGTATTAATTTAAAGTAATACTACACTATTATTGTGATGATTGATGAATTTTCTTCTTGTATTATTAATATTATTATTTGAAAAAGTGTGATTCATAGCTTAGCGTATGATGATTGAGAAGGTTGAAGAGGGAGGAATTGAATATATTGACAATATGCTCTCACTATAAAACTAAATGAAAAGTTTGTGCTATTTTGTTGTTGAGTATTGTTCATGAACTGACCAAATTGTCGTCAACTAGTGAATCACTCGTTCCTTGTCAATATAAAGTGATGATTGCTTTCGCCAATTTTTATTTTAAAGATACAACGAACGATAAACGGTCAAACTGTGTGCACTGACATACGGGAAAAGAAGAGGGAAATTCCAAAGAGGTTTCGTTTATAAAATTTTAATGAGGTCAACCACACTGTAATCGGAAACCTTTCTTGAAGAAGGCAGATGGTCGATTAAAATAAACATTTCAAGTTCTTCTCTATCAATGTTGCCCTTTCTTTTTATGGGCTTTAATTGGTCAATTTGTTGCAATAATACTAATTTATTGGAAATGATTTTATTATCAATCTCATTGTGAGCAAGTGGTTTGTTGTTACAAAATATATTTTCATTAAGGTTTACTATTTTGAAAGTTGAATCAAAATTCAAGCCTTTTACTAAGCAATATACTCCATCACAACCCAATGTCCTTTCTCACTTCTTCTTTTGAGGTTGTGTGATGGATCTTATTGATGTAAATGAACAGCGGCCAGGAATATGAACAACATACAATAAATTGGGCGCGAAATTATTTAATCAAAAAAATAACGTCCTCCTCAGTCAGCATGACTACGCCCTCATCATCAGAGGAATTGAAATCGAGACTACTTGTAATAAGTAGAAATCAGAGTGCAACTGCACAGTCGTTTTTTGATCATTCTCCACTGGATGAATCATCGGTAAGTTGAAGTTATGTTTTTGGTGTATTTAAGGAATTGTTTTAGGAGAGTCCTTTAATTGAGGGAGCTAGCTTCGGAGCCTTTGATAATCATCAAAATATAAATTCGAGCAGAGTGATAGATATTGAACCAGAAAATATAACAGAGACTGAGAGGGGTTGCATAACGAGTCTCCAATCACTGGAAACACATTGGTCAACAAAGTTAGATTGTCTGCAAGAGTTGGATGATGTACTCACTTCAGGAACAATATCAAAGAAAAAAGCACTTGAAATTGCCATATCTATTCAAGAACCATTATCGATTATGGTAAGTTATAGGATAATGTTGTGTTGTATAATGAGTTTTGCAGCTTTCGGATTTAAGGTCTTCAATCGTCAAGGCTTCGTGTGATGTAATTGTATCGATTGTTAGGTTGTTGGATGAGGATTTTGAGGTATTGAACGCTATATTGTTAAAACCTCTATTGAAAGGAACCTTCTCAATAATTGACTCGATATCATCATCTTGCAGAGGTTGTCTTGAGGAAATTCAAAATGTCAACGGATCTATCGGAATTGTATCATATGGATTGTTTGAGGAGTATTTGGATGACGTTTCCTATCAAGGAAATATTGAAACAAAACGCTCAGCCTTAGTTTCAGTTTACAATCTTCAAAAACAAAGGGCAGATATTTTCAACCGAGACACCATCATCAAATGTTTAAAGAAACTGAAAAGAGAAGAAAATGAAGATATCAAAACAGCAATAACAAATTTGGAATATCTATTGGAAAAAGGAGAGGATATTAAAACAAATGTATCAAATTCATCAATTTCCTCAACTACTTCTACGTCATCAATTTCTGACCAACCTTCAAGTTTATCCGAAATGATCAAAATTCAAGAACCAGAAGTCAACACCTCTTTCGATCTTCCAAAGATTGAGCTCCATGATAGACCTGCAACACCAAAGTTAATTGTAAAAACTGAAACCAGAAACTTTGAGGAGATTGAGCAATCTACACCAAAAGACAAACAGTGTAACCAACCACCTCAATTCTCTCCTTTGGATCCATATTTTTTGACAGACTTTAAGGTTGAGGAGAAGACCACAATTGTTGAGAGGAAGGATATGTCTACCTCACCACCACCAGAAATAGTGATATATACAGAAGAACAAGTGCAGAAAATTAAGCAAGAAAGTGTGGAACAAACACTAAAGGAAATGGCTATTCTAACAGCAGAGTACGATGACATGGAACAAAGGTTAAACATTGAAGTTAGAAAGAGACGAGAGCTGGAAGCATTTGTTCAAAATTATGAAAAGGAGTTTAAAAATTTGAGTTTAAAGAATGGAGATGACAAGGAAAAGGAGAGTATCAAGGTACAATATACCCAGTTACTGATAGACTACTCAAAAATAGAGTCATCCTTTAAGGAATTAAAAGGTAGATACGACGAGGCTAAAATTGTAAATGAAAAATTTAAACAAAACGAGCAAGTACTGAAAGAAAAGATTCATGCCAGCATGAAAGATTGTAAAGTTTACGAGACCAAATATAATAAGCTCAAGGAACATGCAGAGGACCAACTTAATGGAGCTAATACCAAACTCAAAGAGTTATCCACAACTAAACATCAGCTCGAGAGTAAGATAACGTCATTGGAACAAGAGATGAATTTGATGAAGAAAGAGAAGGAAGACAAGGACGAACAAATAGTCTCCCTAAATGATAAAATCAAAAAGCTCTCCACCATTCCAAAGACTCAGATCAAAGCCCTCGAAGACAGAATCAAGTTCCTAGAATTTACAAACGAAAAACTGGTTAAAGAATCAAATGATTTCCAATCCAAAATAATCTCTCAGGAAACTGAAACACGAAAAATCAAGGAGGAAAAGGAAGAATTCAAAGTTAGAAATGACGAGCTTCAACAATCTTTACACGTATTTTACGAAGAAAATCAAAAGCTAAAGGCAAAGATTTATGATAAGACAAATGAAATAGAAGCATTGAAAACTCTAATTTCCTCGTCATCCTCAACCACAACTCCATCATCTACACTTGAAGAAAAGTTAAAGAAAGAAGAGGAGAAAAGAGTGCAGGTTGAAAATCGATTAAAAGCAAAAGAAAAGGAAAATAAGGAGCTGTTAGACATTTGCAATCAATTACTTTCAAAAATTGAACGAAAACCAACAGAAGAATAAAAAATGCAAACACAACAACTCTCAAGGAAAGCTTCAATTTTGACTGCAATGCTGAAACACAATATAACATGTTCTGTCGGAATGAGGAAGGAATTTAATAAACAATTTTTCTCTACCCACTTATCATGCAATAGGAATAAAAACAAATTGGAGGAACGAAAGAAATTAATTACTGAAAATTTCAAAGGGTGTACACAATGTGGAAAGTGTTGTACCGGTTTTGGATCTATACGTATTTATCTAGATGAGAATAATGTGAAACAAATATCAAATTATTTGAAAATATCTCCGAATGAATTTATTCAGAACTATACCTTGTCAACCCTTAAACAATCAGATGAAACCTCAATCTCTATCAAATATAAGCCTTCCTTAGCCTTTCACAAACGAGTTCAATGCATATTTCTGAAACCTCAAACACAAGAAGATGGACAAGTGACTTATTCTTGTTCAATTTATCCAGTACGACCTCAACAATGTAGAACTTTCCCTCATTGGGATGAAGAAATTACACAAGACGAATCCTACTATAATATGATTGAAACCTGTGAGGCACTCCACTCACTCAAACGGTCTGCTTTTCTCATCGATGAAGGGAATGATGAAGAGGAAACCCAAGATGGAGAACAGAATGAACACCAAGGTTAGTCTTTCAATTAAGGCAACAACATTATTAAAAACAATTTCCTCTCTTACCTTCCTATACGTTCCAAAGAAATGAAGTAAAGTACCAACACTACAATCATTTGAAAGTAGACAATGTCATGACATAGGTAAAAGCGTTGATGCAAGAGTGATTGTGCCATGAATTTGGGATCAAGATATTAATTTATATATTTGGTAATGAATGCTTTTGTCCCATACGAGAATAATCGAACAGTTGAATTCAACCTGAGAGCTTTAACCAGTGTTTGAAATTCTGGAACAATATCCAACAACATTCCAATTTTTATTGAAATGCCTCCCCAAGAGTTGTAATCATCTCCATGATAACAGTAACACACAAAACCTTGGACAATATCTTCCAACAAAAAAGAATGAAACTACCACAACTACTGCCACACCATTTGTCTACTCGAACAATTGCACAAATCTTCATCGTGTCATTAATTTTAATACATCACCTAGTTGTTCTTCTTGTCGGAGCACAACAGCAGAGTATTGAACGTACCTATTACATTGACTCCAACCAATCACAACAACCGAAGAATAATACATGCACTGATGTGAATCTACCATGTCAAGTATTTCATCAAGTCATCACTGCTGCTAACGATGAATTATATTCCATGTTTCCTATTGGCAATTCATCAAAATTATTCAAATTTCAAATGAAAATAATGATGAAGGGAAGTTATGAATGTGGACAATTGTTTGACTTTTCCGAATATACCAATAGATTTGAATTGAGTTGGATTGGAATGGATACTAATGGTTTTATATATCCTGGATGTGAGTGGCTCGTTAATAGGCAGAGTGTAATTGAGAGATTTCATTTTGTGAATGGAGGAGTTGGTAGAGCATTGAGTTTGGATAGGAAATTGGAAATTCTCAGTTTTGATCAATGCCATAGTGATTTGTTGGTAATGAGTGAATTAAATGTGAAAAATTTACTTATTAATCAGTCAAATTTCAACAACTTTGGATTGAAAAATGCAATGGTGGAGACATTTCGAGTATTTGAATCGACCATTTCTGAAACGAAAGTAAGATTGAGTAAGACAGAGTCTATTCAAATAGATAATTCTAAATTATTGAATGCAATTCTAAATATTGATTTTTTTGGAACTGTGAAAATTAACAATTGTCATTGGACAGCTAGTTCTTTATGTGCTTTCAATGCTGGAAACGTGTTGAATATTACAGAGGCTAGCTCCATTCCAACTATTCAGATTATGATAGTTTTTCAAGTTGTTTTGGATGGAATTAGTATTATTGATCGAGTTATTGGTGATATATCCGAATCCTATCTGAGCTTGATTGGTTCTACCGAAATCTCTATTCGAAACTGGAATGTAACTAACAATATATTTGCCAATTTGATTTCCATTCAAAAAGGTAAAACTGTTCAAGTATTTAATTGTACATTTAATAACAATACTGGAACAATACTATCTATTAAGGATATCTATTGGGATATTAATACAATTGTAGCTCCAATAGTAATAGACGAATCAAAATTCATTTCCAATAGAGTTCTGAAAGATTCCTCTTTTGTTTCAATCATGACATCTGAGCAAACAGCTTCAATGGTAAGGACGTGTCAGTTCAGAAACAATATGGGTGGTTCACCTCTTTTTTACAATGGCAATAGCTTAATAGTTTTCAATTGTTTCTTTTCGAATAATGTTGCAGAATTTGGAGGTGCCATTAGAATTGAGATCAGTAATTCCCTAACTCTCTCAAACTGTTCATTTATTGGAAATGAGGCAAAGAAGGGAGGAGCCATCTATCTCCTCAATCTATTAAGTGGTATTGCCACAACTGACAGTTATTGTCAGGATAATATTGCATTTCAAGTTGGAGGTTGTATCTACAAATCATCCACATCGAGTTCCTTAAATCCAAATACGAAATATCGAATGATTGGTGAAAACAGAGCTTACTATTATGGAAATGATATCGGTTCAGAATTGGTGAGCCAAAGAATTGAATTTAGAGGACAGGATGGTCAATTCAGAGTTGCAGAAGGCAAATCCATTCAAGTGTATCCTGGCCAACCACTTGATTTCAAATTATTCATTTATGATCAATATAATCAAAGCACTTCAAAGCTTTCTAGTGACTCCCCACTTTTGGTAGTTTCTTCTGTGAAGAATATCATTCTACAAAAGCAGGATTATCAAGTCGGAGAAGGATATATCATGCTCAACAATTTACAATACCTACTCGTTGATAAGGATTTCAATTCTGACCATTTTGAGTTGAGATTTTCAATTACAGACTTGGATGTTATTACCTCGTTTGTTAATGTGGAAGTAATGAAATGTCCAGCAGGATTTTCATTGGTGTTGGGAGGAGGCAAGTATTATTACTGTCAATCCATTCCATTTGAGATAATTATTCCATCAGCAGTTTTGGGAACTATCTCACTCACCATCATTTTTTCTTTTACAATTTTTGTAATCGTTTATGTAATGAAAAAGTTGTTCAAATTGAGAAAACAAGAAAAGGCGGAGAAGAGAATTGAAGATCAATTCAAAAACAAATACTTTGTATTTGGAAATGGTATCGAAAACTTGCCCTTACTTGAGAATAGTTTGAATAATGAAACTCCTGAAAGGTACATTATTCCAATTTCAGATATTACTATCGTGAAAAAGATTGGTGAAGGAGCGTCGGGTGTGGTTTATAAAGGACTTTGGAACAAAACAGATGTTGCCATTAAGCAATTCAAGACAGACACTGATGATGAAGAATTTGAAAGGGAGGCCTTATTGATGAGCTCCCTACGACATCCTTCAATTGTTAGTTGTTATGGAATTTCTCTATCCACTGAATCAAAATATATGATTGTAAGTATTTGAATACAATTGATGTACTTAATGAATTGAATATTAAGGTGGAATATCTTTCGAATGGTGCCTTAGATGGAGCAATTTACGAATCAAAAATAGGAAAAAAGAAATTGAGTTACGTTACAAAATTAAATATTCTGAATGATGTATGTAAAGGAATGGTCTATTTACATTCAATTAGGCCAAACAAGATAATTCACAGAGATTTGAAATGTGCAAATATTCTACTCGACAAGAATATGAATGCAAAAGTGGGAGATTTTGGATTAAGTAAGATTGTTAATGGGAATTCTGCAACAATGACCACAAATGTTGGAACTCTATTATGTAAGTAATACGAAATTAGATCAGTTTCTTAATTTTGATGTAAAGATATTGTAAGTTTTATTCGAATTCTAATTTAAACTATTTTAAAAGGCACCTGTAAGTTTTTGATAACATTTCTGAATAATTTAAATATAATTTCTAATAGGAGTTACTTTCTAATCATCATAGAGGTCCTACTACTAAAATTGATGTTTACTCTTTTGGAATTATTTTGTGGGAATTATTATACGAAATGGTCCCATTTTCGGATGAATTGTCAGACACCAATACAGTATTTTCCATATTGATGGAAGTCATCAAAGGACATAGACCAAGAATTATTACTACAGATCAAGCATGGATCGAAAATAATATTTCAAAAAAGGAAATTGATAAATATGGAATTTCAAAATTAGAACTATCTCTTTCGGATTATATCGAAATTATGAAAGAATGTTGGAATAATGAACCTAATCAAAGACCAGAATTTATTCAAGTTGCAGAATCTTTGGAATCACTATTGAACTTTTTACAAACATAAATTCCTTCTCTGTACAAAAAAACTATATTTGATTTAATCAATAAATAAATAGGTTAGATTTACTCGACAATTTCTTCAATTGTTTCAATAACTTCATCAACTTCTTCTTGATTAAATTCATCAGGATCATAACCCTTAAGAGCAATCAATTCTGGTTTCATCTTTTCGTATTGAGACTTCAGTCTGGCCAAAACTTGTTCAAATTCATCCCAAGCACTCTTTCTCTTCTTGAGCTTAGCTTCACGCAAAGCCTTAGCTTCTTGTAAAAGTTTTTGTTCAATTTCAACCTTCTTGTTTGGTAATCTCTTCTTGACTTCCTTTTCCATGTTAGCAGTGAGGAGTGATTTGATTCTTGGTCTCCATTTGAATTCGAGGAGTCTTTCAACGTTAGCCTTATGCATAACCTTACCCAAGAATGTCCAGATAATGAAACCATTGTCATTTGATCTACGTTCAGCACTAACAAAAGTAGAGAAATATCTACCAGATGGATCCCAACAAGCATCAGTCATAGAGAAGTGTTCTCCTGTACCAACAAGTTCACCTTCTTCAGCATTCCAGAATTCGAGAGTAACACTGACAAGCTTTGTATTCATGAGAACCAAATCATGACCACGAGGACTCCACAACATTCTATTAATTGTCTTTCCTTCACATTTCTTAATGAGCTTGTGAACAGCATTCTTGAATGAATACAAACTGAAAGACTTCTTGACATTACCAGGTCCGTGAATAATGGCGAGAGTATCTCCGATTGGTTCAAATTCGAATTCATCGACACAATCATTAAAATCAGCAATACCTTCAATTGGGAAGTTCTTTTGGTTAACTTTCATAACATCGAAAGCAGTTGTAATGACCTTTTCCATTTGAATTGTTGATTCACGACTAGTAGCAATAGCAATGTAGTCACCACTAAGTTGCCAGTTGAGCTTAATATCAGTAGAGTTATAGTATGGTTTAGACTTCAATTCCTTGATTGATCTACTGTTAATATCAACCAAAGTAACCAAACCTTCTCCATTGGTATCATTAATAGCGGAATAAATCATGAAAGATTTACCAACAGGATTGAAAGCAAAATCTCTGACACCTGGAACAGAGTATGTCTTTTGGTGGAGCAATTCCATAGTAGAAGAATCGAAAATGTGGATACAATCTACACCCATCTTGGCAAAGTATTTTTCATCAGCACTCCACTTGAAAACATGTCCTTTAAGAGCACTTCTATCCTTCAATGGAAGAGACATGGCCTTTCTTTGGGCTCTCAAATCCCACAAGACAGCTCTAGCTGGACTTTCACTAACAGTTACAACAAATGATTCGTTTGGTGAGAATTGAACACTAATAACGTTCCTATGTGAAAGAGTATCTTGGTCTTTGAATTCTGGACCACCCCACAAGGCAACACCTTTTTCGTGATAAGTAACAATATATGAACCAAGTGGTGAAAAGTCAATCTTATCATCGGACCATCTTTCTTTAGAGTAAATAATTTCTTTAACGTGAAGTGGATCATTCCAACAAATATCAACAGTTTCATCATATCTAATAGCATATTGACTTCTTGCGTTAGGATCCTTCAACCAGCTGACCAAATTATCTCTTTCCTTGTATTGTTTTGATTGTTGTTTGTGTTGTTGTTGGTATGTTGTTTCGTCGAATTTTTGATACTTGTCCACTTCAGCTGCAGAAATTGAGTGAAGAGTAAAACTGGCAAATTTAAATCCTTCAATTCCATCAAGGACCTTTTTAGCTTGTTCTGCTGTTGAAAGTTCTACAATAGCCATACCTTTAGACTTTCCTGCTTGATATGGAATATAAAAATTAACAATCTTTGCTTCGGCTTTCTTTTCTATAATTTGAACAACCTTGCTCTTTAAAGCTTCTTCCTTGGCTTGGTCAATGATTGGTAAACCATCAATAACAACAACATTGGAAATATCGTCATTAAAAGTTACTTCAGGTTCATCAAAAACAAATTCTTCGTTTTCATCAAAGTTTTGAATGTCGCGCGGCGTGACAATGTATTGCTTGCTCATTTTTTTCAATTTCAAATTTAAAAAAAAATTTAATTTTTAGATTCTCTTACAAATATTCCTTGTTATCAAGCCTTCATCACAAGAAGCCTTGTTGTTGTTATTTCGATATTGTAGTTTTGGTGCCGGCACACTATTTTAAATAGTATATTATTAGAAGATTATATCAATTTTGAAATTTAATAATTGTATGAAGACTATGGAAGAATCTTTAAAGAGAAAGTTGTCTGAGAGTGTTCAATCAAGTGAATCGGAGGATACGAATAATCATCATAAAAAGTTAAAGACCAATGGTAATCAATCAGTACAGAATATAGATGAGAGTGAGTGTCCATATCTGGATACAATTAATAGAAAAGTTTTGGATTTTGATTTTGAAAAAGTTTGCTCCGAAACATTGTCCAATACTAATGTTTATTGTTGTTTGGTTGATGGAAAATTCTTTAAAGGAAAAGGAGAGTCTACACCAGCTTATATTCACTCACTGAACGAGGATCATCACTTATTTATGAGTATTTCTAATGGAAAAATATATTGTTTGCCTGATAATTATGAAGTGAATGATAAGAGTTTGGAGGATATTAAATTTAATTTGAATCCAACATATTCTGAGAAGGATGTCGAGGAATTGGATATTCAATTGAAAACAGTAACATCAATAAGTAATGGTGCTACATTCATGCCAGGTTTTGTTGGATTAAATTCAATCAAACAATCTACAGATGGTATAAATGTGGCAATTCAAGCACTTACTAGAATTAAGCCAGTTAGAGACTTTTTCCTTTTGGATCAGAAGAATCTTTCAAAAGTCAAGTCCAGATCTGTATTACTATTTTCTGAATTGTTAAGAAAAATTTGGAATCCTAAAAATTTTAAGAATCATGTAAATCCTCTAGAATTTGTACAAAGTATTTTATCAAACGCAAAGCAATTTAAACTAGGAGAAAGTATAGACCCAGTCCAATTTTTCACATGGTTGTTGAACTATTTACATGGAGAACTGACTGATAATCAACCAAAACAAAAGAGTATAATATCAGAATCATTTAGAGGTAGGATTACAATCACTTCGAAAGTAATTAAAAGAAAGAAATCGGGTGGAGCTGACAAAAAACAAGTGGAAGAAACAACCTCACAAAATACAACACCATTCATGTTTTTGACACTAGATGTGCCTTCAGCGCCAATATTCAAAGATGAATATGAGAGAAATATCTTACCCCAAGTTTCGCTTTTCAGTTTGCTTTCGAAATTCAATGGTGAGAAGGAAACAGCTGTTCCACTCAATGATGGCAATGTAGAAATGAGAAAGTACAAGATTGAAAAATTACCACCATATTTAGTTTTCCATGTAAAGAGATTTTCCAAGAACTTTTTCTTTGAAGAGAAGAATAACACAATTGTTAACTTTCCTCTCAATAATTTAGACATTAGTGAGATAGCTCCAGATTACTCTGGAAGTCATTACAATCTTGTTGCCAATATTTGTCATGATGGAAGTGTCTACAAAATACATGTACATAATGTTGCTGAAGGAAAGTGGTATGAAATTCAGGATTTGGATGTAAAGGAAGTCATTGCTGAAGAAGTGTCAATTTCTCAGAGTTTCCTTTTGGTTTATGCAAAACAATAAAAATCTTAATAATATAAATTTAAATAAGTTTAATCAGATAATTGTTGAACAATACTTTCTCTCAAATCTCCTTGTGATCGCACAGATAATTTAAGAAGTATAGAACCATTCTTTTCACCTAATTGAGCAGCAACCAAAACCATATCACCGAATATTGATTTACCAGCAAAGTATAAAGAGTGAGTCTTCTTTGAGACGGTTCTGTCACCAATTGGTCTCAAACCAACACTAGAAATGAACTTGTCAACAGCAGCTTGCAAATCATCTGATGCAGTGTATTCAATTGGTTGTTGAGCAAATTCGGACTCTTCACCAAGCTTATCCCATTCTTCTTTGAATGATGATACTGCCATATTTCTAACGAAATCAGTAACACGAATATTAAATGCTTCCAATTCAAATTCGTCTTCATTCTCATCTTCTTCATCGTAAGGATCACCAGTTTCTGGATCAACATCGGCTGTACAAAACTTGAGAGTACTGAAAATTTTACCAGTAGCAATTTCCTTTTCTCTCTTCAAAACAACAAAGGTAGATTCGGCTTGATTAAATTTGATAGCTGATTCAGCTTGAATCTTGAAAACTTCTTGTACATCTTCAAAATCTCCCAAATCCAAATCAACAATAAGGTTACTCAATTGTTGAGATTCAACTCTATTCTTTACAATATATTGGAGAACAATATTAGATTCGAAAACATGGATAGCACATGAGACTACATAGTCAGCGTCAACTTCAGTAAGGTAAATTGGAGGGTTTGTCTTGAAAACCTTTCCAAGATTTTGGAGTTGTGGAATCTTTGTAATTGCTTGTTCATATTCTTGAGTATCATTGGCATTGCTAGTTTCAGTGGTGGTAGTTTCAGAAAGGATTGGTTGTGTTACAGCAGATTCCAAACCAGTTTCAGTAGGAGCTTCAGTTTGAATGGCAGAAGCATCAACAAGTTGGACATCAGAAAGATCAAATGGTTCATCAAGAGTAGATTGAAGATAGTTAACCAAACTCTTTTCAACACTGTAGAAGTAGTGTTGCATATTATCTGGAAGGTCATTAACAATCAACTTTCTAATCAAATCTTCATCCTTTGTTTCGAGAGCCTTAACGTAGAAAACAGCACGATCTCTGACTTCATCATCACTATCGAGTAAAACTCTTCTCAAAATGACCAAAATAGACTTTCTAAGGTCTGGAATCTTGGCAGCAAATTTAGCAATAGTAATAACAGCACTTCCTCTTACGGTTGGGTTTTCCAAAATCAAACGATTATAAATAAATCTAATACATTTAGAAGGACCTGTACTTTGAGTACCTTCATCTCCCAAAAAGTGTAATACTTGTTGCAAAACAATGGTATATTCACAATCTTCAATAAATTCGCACAAGTAGGAAACAATCAAATCTCTACTTTCTGGCAATGCCTTACAGATTGAAATCAAAGTACTGACTAATTGTTTCTTATATTCATATCCACCTTCAGTGCGTAAAGCATTTGATAAGAAAGAAACCATGCTGTAGAACTTCTTTGGATATCTAATACACAAAGATTCAATAGATTTAACAACAATAATCTTGAATTCATCAGGAATTTCTGGAATAAATCTTTGAATCTTCTTCATCAATTTTTCAATATTTGTTTCTTGTCCAGTCTTTAAGAGAGTTGTAACAGCGAGGGTAGCAATATTTCTATTTGGATCAGCAATCAACTTTTCAAGTTCGTTATTACATTGAGAAACAAGAGTTGGATAATGATTTGCAACATCATTCAAAAGACGAATTGCAGCAAATCTCTTAACTGGCTTGTTTGATGACAAGAACATACGAAGAGCTTCAATAGCTGCGGAAAGTTCCTTTCCTAAATCTCTAATTGTACAAATTGCTTTAGCAGCTTCAAGAATGACCATATCATTTCTAAATTTAAGACATGATGTTAAATATTGTAAAATTGCCTTGCTTCTATCAGAATTAATATTTCCTTCCATTCTCATAATCCTCATGGAATATTTGATGAGAAGAGTATGAGCAAGAGGTGATCTGAGATTTTGCATACCAGCGGAAACAATCTTGCTGATAGCCAAACCATCTTGATGTCTAAGTTTGTAAGATAATGCCAAAGCATGGTATTGTACCATGTGGAAACGAGAATCAACAGCTGATTGAATTTCTCCAGTCCATCTCTTAACAAGTTGATCACCTTTTTGTGAATCGGACATGTGGAAACCAGCCAAAATAGCAGAGCTGGCAACACCTGGATTCTTATCAACAACACATTGCTTCAAGTGTCTTTCAAGGTTACTGAAAAGATTTTCATCCATGATTGTTCTTAATGAACGAATAGCGTTGATTTTAAAATCTTCGTTTTGATTTTGACTCATGTCCTTGAAGAGACTGTTACTTGCTACAAATGTTTGATTAGCTGTCCTTGAAAGTTCCTTTACAGCAATATATAACATTCTTCTCAATCGTACATCAGGGCTTAAGAAAAGCTTTGTAATGTTCATAAAAACATCGGTAGCTTCAGTAGCATTCAAATTCTTTCCTTGATAAATGACGTACAAGAGTTGGAGAAGTGTAAGAACACATTTACGAGGACTTAGAGGTGACTCGTTGAAAATTCTAGTCTCTTGTAAGACTTGAGTCTTTTCCAAATTTTGGAATGGAAATTCAACTATAAAGATCGAATATTAATAATATTGTTGTTGTTGTTCAAAAATTATCCAATAATAATTAAAATAATATCACGATGATGATTAATAATATTAATACAATTGATGATCAAAAATACATCGCACCTCTAATAGGATGATACACTTACCCTCTTCATCTTCGTCCTTTGCCTTGTTGTGTGGGTCTCGTTCTTGCATCATTTTTTTAGAGTGATGATGGGGCAATTACGTGTAAAAATAAAAAATTAATAAATCAAACAACATTGCCAAGTATCTTTTCTCTAACAGCAGCGATGGTTATTTTGATGGAAATTACTTGGAATTTAGATCTTTTAAAGGGTCAATAAACGTGTCATTGAGGTGGATCTTGTTGTACAAGAGTATTTTAATATATAGTTGTGTTGAAAATAATTTATATAAAATCCGAAGCGTAAGCTGCTCGTAGGGAGAGGAATTGAGGATAGTTTCTCTTGCTTTCTTCAATTTCAGCTTCATAGTAAGATTCATCCTCTTGAGGAGAAATGTGGACAGATTTCTTATCGATGTGATAGTTTGTTCCAATAACTCTATCATTCTTAATTCGTTTCTTTAAATCTTCAATCCAAACATTATAGGTCTTTAAACAACCATCGAATTGTTGGTTGATTAGGTCACATTTTTCTAACAAGTATTTACACAATTCAATAGAGCCGAAATCAGCTGCACATTTAACACAAAAGTTGACAATTTGCTTACTTGGTTCGCCAGTTTCAAATTGCAAGAATGACAGCATTTCACTGAGGAGAGAGGCACAACAAATATTGAGAACAGATTGAGCCTCCTTCACCATTTCTTCTTGAATGAATTTGTTCTTAATACGTCTAGATTCTGAAATTGAAAATGCCAAATAATTAATGGAATCAGTGAATGTGCTATTTGTAATTGATGTGAGAGCTCTATTAATTGCCAATCTAGCCATTCTATAAATTTTGTAATCTTCTAAGCCAATTCAGTAACAGAGTGGTCTTCTATTAATTCGTCTACTATTTTTTGATGTTCAGGATTCTTTGAAAATGATTCACCAAATACAGCCTCTGACCTTCATTTACAATGTGAGCGCAAAATATAGCATTGAGCTCGTTTTTAGCAGCCTCAGAAGAAGCTGCATTTATAATGCATTGAAGGAAGGAAAGGAAGTTTCTCAACTTGTAATCATGCTCTAAAGATGAATTTTGCAAATCGCTTCTTGCTAAATGTATTCTGTTGGTCATATCATCTTTCAATAAATCTTTGACTGAAAAATTCTTCTTCATTTCCTGTAGAATTTCAGGTTTGAATTTTCTTAAAATATCATGGTTTTTCCTTTCAATTTCTGCGAGTACTTGTTGAGGTACTTCTGTGACTATTTCATCTTTGAAAGATGCATCAAACTTGCCAGTTTTGCTTGGATCAATATAAATTAAACAGTATGCAGAATTACTCTTGGTTTTGAAAGCTTCTCTGATCACATCTTCTTTTGTTAAAGTGGTGACTATTGTATCGTTAAACTTAAACCAAGTATCATCATCTCCTTGATATTTGATATAACTCCAGTAATGTCCACCTAAGGCACTTGATCCTGAATGCATAATTATTGAATAAAGATTGTATGTTAATTCTTGAGGATATTGAACCTCCCAAACTTTTTCTATTTGGTTGAGTAATGAATCTCTCTTTTCTTTCAATTCAGAGACTCTTCTTGTCATATTTTCTTGTTGTTGTTGTAAAACTTGAATAGCAATTGAAAAATGATCAATGTTGTTTGCATTTGAGGAAGATAATTGTTCTTCATATTCATGCCTTATTTCAAATAACCTATTTGAGCACACTTCAAAAGCTTGAATTAATCCAAAGTCTCTATTTTCATAAGACTCCAAGAATGATTTAAGACGTCTGTCAACATGTTCAAGTTCTTGATTCAGTACTTTCAATTTGGATCTGATACCTTCTGTTATTTCCTTATTATGAAGAAGATATGGTCCTAAATTAAGATCAAAAGGCAAATCAATTGAATTTTGAATTTTGGTCAAAGTATTGGTACCATAAACAGCTCTAGATGTTTGTAAAAATAAAACTGGAGGAACAGAATCCTTTCCATCAAACCACATGGTCTTACGAGCCTTTGTCTTGTGACTCTTATCTGTGGTATATTCAATCATGTCGTCCTTCATGCACAATTCAAAGGCATCCATATAGTTTCGTGTATCTTGAGATATTGGAAGGATAAGATGGTTGAATGTATCGATGGTCTTTTTTTCAATCTTGGTATGGTCCAACTCCTCAGCTTCAACAAACACAGCTGTTTTTCCATAGAAAAGTTCTTTGAATTTTGCTGAAATATTTTCTCTGGATTCCTTATGTAGGGTTTCCATTCCTTTCTCTAATCTAGAGAGGAATAAACTGTTAAACTCTGGTAAATCTTGCATTTCACCAATTTTGTATGGCTTATTTTCAGCATCTTTCAATTTTTGCATGACTGGTGAGGGATCCACAAAATTTGTATTTGAAAGTAACATGCTTGCAAATAATTTTTGTAGACTCTGTAAAAACTCAATACTAGATTCTTCATCTAAGTGGGCCAATGAAGCATCCTGTGTTTGATTTGCTTCTGTCATTTGTACATCTTCTGGAGAAGAATTGGGTTTTTGAGCTGATGGTTTTGTTTTCATGATACTTTTCAAAACAGAGGGTATCATGAAATATGATTGCAACAATGCATTTACATAACAAGTATTTCCAATATTCTTCAAGCCTACACCACTTGGAAATTTCTCTTGATCTCCCTGTGGAGTCCAAGTAGTTCTTAAAATTAACTCATCTGGGTTTGAAGGTACATTTGTTGAATTGGTATTATTATTATTTGAAGCCTTGTCTTGATCAAGAGAAATTTGGATAGCTCTAGCCAATTCTGTATCTTCCTTTGTATCCATATCATCAATGATATGAATTGTTCCATTTTCATCTGTAAAGTCAAGGAGAGGTGAAGCAGGCTTATTCTCTATAGCCTTCAATAATGTGCTCTCATCCTCGTTATTTAAATCAACTGTTACCATTTTCAATTCCGATCAAGTTGATAAAAGATCCAAAAATGATCAAGTTAAATCTACAATTATATTTGATTAGATCAAAAGAGTATCAAAAAATTGGTGGTGATGTGTTTTTCTTCTCCAATCAAAGTAGTTCCTTCCACAGTTGATTTGGATGTATTTTTTTCTGTTATGAATTCCGTTACCCAAAATCCAAACAATAAATATCTAAATTTAACTTTGAAAATTTAATTTGAATTTGTTACTATGCAACAGCAAATAAAGGAATTCAGTCAATTAAGCCATCAATTTTGTGCTATTTTACAAAATAATATGGTACATTAAATATTTATTCATCTTCATCTTCGTCATCTTCATCGTCTTCATCATCACCTCCTTCATATGATTGTAAATAGGACTTGACTTCCAAGTGATGAGCCAAATCGACTGGTCTCTTCTTTTGACCATTCACAACATCTAATTTAGCGTCCTTTTCGACAAGATATTTAACAACATCCAAAGCACCTCTCCATGTTGCCTTGTGAAGAGGAGTATCACCTTGTTTGTTGATAGCATCAATTGACAACTTGACAGTTTCAACAAGGAATTTAACACAATCCAAGTGACCAGCACCAGCTGCCCAATGCTACTCACATAATAATATTATTATTATTATCAAAATATTATTCAATTTCATATGAAAAAGCAGTATTCATGATTGTAAAACATTTTACATCGATCAAAAAAACATTAATTGGTGTTGAAGAATCAAAAAAAAACAAAATTAAGTAAAATCATGAACAAATAAATAGGAGAGGAATAATATAATTGATCAGCAGTGAGAGACAATGATCGGAAATGATACACCACAAAAAGATCACATAATAATGGTTAATTAAATCATTATCATCATCATAAAACTCACCAATGCATTATTTCCAAATTCATCCAAGGCTCCTGTATTAAACTTTGGATCTTCTTGAAGCAATTCTTGGATTTCCAAAACTTGTCCTCTCTTGGCAGCAGAGAAATAACGTAAAGTTCTAGATTGCTCTGGGGTTAAAGAATCTTCGTAAACTTGATCTGATGACATGATGATGGTGATTAGATTTGTTTTTTTTAATTTTTTTAAATTTGCAGAATATTTGATCAGGTGATGGATGAGATGTGTATTTTGATGACAGTTAAGAAATTGGTGAATGTCAATGGTTTAGAGGGAAAAGTAGATTGGTAAACGTCGAAAAGGGGTAAAGGGAATGTTCTGCTATTGAAATTGTAAAATTTTCTTACACGATGCTAAGTAATTGTTGAGAAAATAACTTTCGAATGAAGTGTTTAGTTTTGTGAGAATGATAAGAAGTTGGGTTTGACTCGTCACAATCCATCACAAATCATCAACGCAACTTGAAGTTTTGCCTATCAACAAAAGTACTCCCATCCACTATTGTAATACCAACAACTGTAACTAATCATTTCAAAATCTCACTTTCCATGCATGTTTGTATGTTGAACGTTATTCAATACTTTATTCTGAATCAACTATTAGATCTACAGAAATTCTTAACTAGCTATCTTTTGATTATTTGTCCTGAACTAGACCAATTAAATGTTGGTTTGTAAATTGAGAGAATGATGTGGATTGACCTATCAATCCTACACAGCTCTAAACCTTAATTAAGCAATTCCTTAATTGATATCGAACTTCTTATTATTCTCTTCTTGGAGATTTGCACAGTTCCATGTGGAGAAGCAGGCAACTCCTCGCTTTCAACATGAATACTTGTTGCTGGTTGTGAGTAATTATATGTATGGCTATTGAGCATTGAAGGAGTATTGCTAATACATGTATGCATATCCATTGATGATGAAGGAGATGTAACTGTTGCAGGTTTTGGTTTCACTCTTCTCTCCCAACATGTACTGTCTCTGTGTTGTCTCTTTGTAACATTTGTTTGACGATTGCTCATTGACCGACATAACAAACTTTCTGTTGAGGTAATTACCATTTGGGTGTTGGATTTTGGTTCATTCTTAATAGGTCTTCCTCTCTTCTTTGGCATCAGTTCAACATGATTATGACCAATGGAGAGTGGATTTTTAGCTGAATTGTTTGAAGAAGAAACATCCATACACAGGCAGTTGCTGTCCTGATGTGATGGCTGAATATAGCTGAGTGTTGTAAATTGAACGATTGAGAATTTGCTATACATATTTTTTTTTCTGTAATTGAAAATGGAAGAATTATAACTCTTCGTGTGTGTGTGAAATTTTGTGAAACGAGAAGGTTGATGAAGAGATTTTTGCTTACTCTTAATCCAATTCAAACACACAAGCTCTAATAGCATTGGGGGATGTGTGTCGCAGGACAGACATTTAAATATTTCGTATCCTCTAACTGCCCGTACCTGATGTTAAGGATGGCCAAATATGACGATTTAATTAAAGTGCCATTATTTAATTGTGATCCTCCATTGGATACGCCTCCTGTCACTGCCTTAATAAGGGTGCATTAAAACCGCAAATACACATTTAACCAGCAGAATTTCCATTTGAGGACTTCTTTATTTGAAAATACTTTACATGTTTACACACAAAGCTCCTTAGCGTCAATAACCGCCTTCCAAAAGTCAGCAGAAATTTCAGATTTACCCACTTGAATGAGGGAAGGGAGTATTAAGGCAGAAAAGGGTTTTGTCGCCTTATCTGACAATGGGAGTGTCAATATAATAGTACTGTGCTAAAACTGTTCTTAATGAAATTGGAGAGGAATATGAAACACAACTAGCATGACAAGGCTAAAAACAGTTCAATATGGAGAATATTATTATTGATTGAAATATGTCCTCAAATTGAGTTATACAATTCATTGCTAACAGGAACATGATAGTATCTGTGATTTTAGGATTTTCATAATTTGTGCTCTTTTATGTATTACAGAAGTGTCAAATGATTGCTTGTTGAGTGGTCTTTATTTGTTACAATAGATTTCATGGCAAACTGCAACTTTCATAATAACAGGACACTGAGAGCATTTTATCTCTAAACACAAATAAAAATTAATTACACAGATTTAAAAATTTGTGATTTGTGTTTGTGTAGACAGACCATTTTATCTTGCACAAATATTTGTGAAAACACAAAAGTATTTTATTAAAATAATAAATTATTGTTGGTCTTGAATCTTAGGTTGTTTTCTTTGAATCTAGTAGTAAAAGTTCATTCGTCGTTGATCTTGAAATATGTGATCCGATATCAATATTGTTGTTGCAAGAATTGGACATGAATCGGGTTCTAATGGTTGCTGATTTCTTCTCCCGTTTGATGAAGGAGAAGTTTAATACATTTTTTATTAATTAAATATTAAAAAATGTAAGAAGAACCTTCATCAGAGAAACCAACATCAACACCACCAACAACCCAAGATTCAAGTGAAATAAAGAGGGAAAGCAGTAACAGATGGAATAATTAAATATTTGGAACAAAACAGTTTGTTTTTGGAGCATGCTTTCATTGATTCCGCACCACCAGAACCAACTCCATCATCACTAATTAAATTAGGATACATTACATTCGAATCAACATATTGTAGAAATTACTTTCTGATTTCAACTTATACCTTCTATTGAGATAGACATTAGTTGGAATAATTTTAATAAAAATATGTATTTGTGCAAGATAAAATGGCCTGTCTACACAAACACAAACACAAATTTGTGAAAATATTTTACCACAAATATTCACAAAAAATTTGTGTAATTAATTTTTTATTTGTGAATAGTGATAAAATGCTCTCACTATCCATTCTTAATCATAAATATTATATGAATTAATCTTTAAAATTGGCTGTAGGTCTGAAGTCTTTTGGGTTTTAGCCTATGGACTTTGAAAATCGCTTCAGAAAAGGAAGAAATTTTGTTCATAATTATTATTAGGTCGGGGACACTTGTCCATGTGTAGTCATTTTAAAACAGTGGACACATTTCCTCTTTTGTTCTTGTTGGTTATATGAAATAAGTTGATTAATAGAAGCCCTCCTTCATTCAGTTTGAAAGTGTTCTCACTTTTCATTTGATGATAGAATGGTTTGTTTTCTTGAGTGATCTTTCTCTTTGCCAATAATTATCTTCGTAAAGTCATAACAAAATAATGAGTCATAACTGGAGCCGGCTAATTTAAATTCAATACTTGTTTCCAAAACATAACTAGACTCCTTGTGAACCTTAAGAAAAACGACAATTTTTCCTGATGTGAAAAAAATGGCACGAAAAGATGATGAACATGTGCCCTTGATTGTTCCATCACTACATAACGACAATAATTCACAACTGCAACAAGGTCTTCATGTTGAGGTTCAGGATCCTGGTTATCAGAATTCTGTTCAAGGAAATGTCAATAATTGTGAGATGCAAATTCACACAACTTCAACATTCCGAAGGAATTTAGGTGCTGTGAGGAATTTCCTTCACACCAACAAGTATGTTGTGTTTGGGGCCTTGTGTTTGGTGGTTTTGGTGATGGCCTTCTCTAGATCTATTAATTTTGTTCTGATTGTTAGATTGTCAACACAAATGAAACATTATGGATATTTCCTGTCATCGATTTTAATTCCAACCATGTCAAATATTGTTTATTGGCCAATTGCTTGGTTTAAAATGTTTGGAACTAGGAGTGTTACAAAGGAAATGAGAAAATTTCCTGTTTATAGAGTATGTTTTCAAATGGGAGGAATGTTTCTAATCAATTATTGGAATAGTTTGTAATTATGGGATTTTTAACGAATTTAGCAAACTTGATATTGGTCATTGCCTCATCAAATGTTTCAGGTAGTGTAAACGTGGCAATGAATCAAACCATTATCATCAATAATATGCTCGTTTCCATGATATTCTTATCGGTGAGATATAATATTCTACAATTTGGAGGAACTTTTATTGTAATCATTGGAGTAATTTTAAATGTTTTGCCTTTATTTCTTTCAGGAAGGTCTGGAACTAGCTCAACAGAATGGATTTGGGCTCTCGTTCTATTAATTTCCACATTTTTCCAAGCCATTGCCAATGTTTACATTGAACATTATCTAAAAAAGGAGAAATTAGATGTTTTCTATATGGTCGCATGGATTGAATTATTTCAATTATTATTTGGAATTTTATTTTTCATTCCATTTTTATTAATTCCTTGGAATCCAAATAGTATTGTGAAATCTGCTTCTGACCTACCTAATTACATGTTATATTCATTGAAATGTGTTGTTGGAATGAATTCTTTGAAGGGTGACATTTGTGATGGAGTTTATTGGGTTGCAATTTTATTTGAAGTTTTCAATGTTTTATTTAATGTTACTCAATTGGTTGTTTTCAAGCATGGATCTTCAACTTTGGCCATGATTGCTCTAACTTCTCGTTTGGTAATGTCCAATCTCTTCTTTATGATTCCGTAAGTAATTTAGTTTACTTTCGAATAATTGATTTTTTTAAAGATTTATTGCTGGACCTGCTTTCCAACAAAAATTATCGAACCTTGATATTGAGAGCTTATTTATTCTTGTAGCTGGCATTGTATTGTACAGTATTACTAAGGAGAGAACCCTTGATAAGAATCCCCTCAACGAAAAACTTTTAACATTCTTGAATTGGCTAAAGGACAAAATTAGAAAGGCGGCAAGGTGAGAAACTAATTGAAGATTGGTCTCCGTAATTTGTGCTAGTAGTGCTAAAGAATCCACAGTTAGTAGAATTTGATTTATTAAAAAAATTATTTCACACATCCTTCACAAACTAAACCTCTTCATCTATTCGATTCTCATGTACTTTCTGTTGATAAAAGGACCAACAAGAAGATGACACATGCATGTATTTTGTATTGTGAGTGATAATGAAAGAGGTGATTTATTTGTCCTCTGCACTATTATTCGAAACGATTCGAAACACATGTGTGATAGCTACTGAAAGGAAATCGCGTAAAAAAGCATCTACCTTTCCAAAACGCATCTTTTTGAAATATTACATCTAATTAGTATTAATATTGGAATAGTTTCAATTTAATAATTCTTGGATGGATATCGAATATCTTATCTTTCTTGGAGGTTTATAATTGGATGTGTTGTTATTGTTGGAGGTGATAAGATTGGATTCTAGATGTGTTGTTGTATTGTCGTTAGTGGTAGTGATATTAGATTGAGGAGTGGATGCATGCGTTGTTGGAAGAGACGAAACTAATGTGTCTGAAACTAAACAATTATTCAATTCTTGCACAATAGTCAAAGATGATGTACTACTAGATGTGGAGCAATTAGATGTGTTTGGACTATTACATGCTTTCTTTTCCCTTCTTCTTCGTTTATCCTTCTTGAATTGGTCTGTCATTCTATTCGTCAATTCATACCTCATTGGCATTGTCTCAGTTGACCTAATAAACATTGATTTGTTTGCATGTGGTGAATTCTTAGGTGGTCTACCTCTCTTCTTTGGTAAATCAGTAGTTTTTGTTTGAATATTCTGAGCAGGAGTAAAGTCAACAATAGAGAATTTGTTAATGTACATCTTT